GTCTCCCCCGACGGCAGATAAACTTAGCGATCATCGGATTTGTGTCCCACTGAGAAAAAATGCATTCATAATGGTCTTGAATTTCATTGAATCTAATCTCTGTTAGTGTGTAAATGATATGGGATAACTACTATGTTGTGCCTTACCACTATCTCTGCAATTTTGGTTTTTCAAGTCGATGCATCCATCTGCAGTCATTTCTTGATCATATTTTCATCTCCTTGGTACTTCAATGTGTGATGATTCATATCAGTTTTATCATCATAACTGGACCTCTCTAAAAGAACAAAAAATCACTTTGAATAGCCTCAAAATTTTCTAAACATTTCTAAATAGGCCTACACACCAAATCATCTCACTCTCCAAGCGTTCCTTTATGCGATTTACATACCCACTCCAAATTGACTTTTCAAAACCTCTAAAGCCCATTCCGCCAACACTGATAGACAGCTTAACGTGGCAGCTATCAAAATAACGCCAACTATAATGGAAGAAAATGGGCTAATCACGCTGTTTACTTAATGAATACAAATATAATAATTGTGTTACGTTCTTGTGGACGCTAAAGCTGCGGAGAATAAAGATCTAATCCCAGATGCAGTGGCAAACTCGCTCCAAACATGCTTAAACACCGAATTATCTTCTCCAGACACATTTTGTCGTAAGGCGCCAAGAATCCCCATTTCATTTGGATCGCACAGGCTTTCATTTAATCCGTCTGCTTATTAAAAAATAGGATGCAGCCTTGTCGACAATGGAGAGGCTGGCGTGCTCCCGGCACAATGGCTGAGGTTAAACTGAAGGTTGCGTGGAGCCGTCCTGCGCGCCCACATGAAAGGACGGTGCATTGCAGGGCCCAATAAAGCACATTTTTGCACCAATATGTGTTTGCGCTCGCATTCAATTTAGTGACGGCTGTAACAGTATAGAATACGGTTTGTTTTGCTTAGTACACAAGTCTGAGTATGAGGTGAGGCCTCGAGAGAAAACCAGCATTTGAAAGAAAAGCTTTCAGACCACCAGATTGACAGCAGGTTTTAAACAGGACTTCTCTGGGTCTAAATCTAAACCAGGTCTTAAACAGGACTTAACTGTGTCTAAATATAATAATAATGAGTAATAATGCATCAGTTTTCCAACCATCACCAGACATTCACACACACACATACCAGACTCATCTTGCCTAAGCACACAACGACAGTTTGACACTTTACAGCCGCCCCACTGTGGTACATGGTGTTTCCAGAGGTCTCCCATCTCAGTACTAACCAGGCCCTGCCCCGTACAGCTCGAGATCTGACGGGATCTGGCTTTCAAATGCAGGTTATCTGAATCAGGTCTTAAACAGGCCTTCTGGAGAGTCTCACAATCTCAACTTCATGTTTATGTTTCAGAAATAATAATTTGAGTTTATCCAACCGTAAGAATCCTGTGAAATAGAATTGTGGTGAACAAATCCGACCACAACATGCAGTCTAGCTAACTTTTGGTGTGTGAGCGCTCGGCTTTGGGCTGAGAGCTGTTGGTCAAAGAAGCAGGACATATACACAGCCGCAGAAGGACATGGCTAAAAGCTCATGTTATTATTAGCATTAGCCACAGCGCTGCATCTGCATCACGGTAAGAACACAGAACATTCACTCACGCTGCTGATAAAGTATTCTGGCGATTGTTTTTTGGGGATTCTCTGTGTTTTATTTGAGGCTTTGTCCCTGAATAAATGTAGTTGAAACTTGTGATCGGGTCAGAACAGATACATATTGTTCAAGTGTGAGTCTGTTGTGTACAAACTACACAATGTGTGTCCTGTTGTGTTAACGATGTCTTTTGGTGCATGTTGTTTGCGATGTTGACACTTTGCTGCTATGAGACCGGATTTATACGTAATTATTTTTCGAAACGATTGTTGTTTGGGTCGTTCTTTCACATAACTGTCATCCTCCATGGTTCTTTTATATAACTGGTCCTCCATGGTTCCTTCTTCAAATTGGTGAAGGCATGGTGAAAGCAACGATATCAGTGGAAACGAAAACGCGGTTCTAGCACTCTTTTTGTCCCTTATCCACCGCTGTATTTCAAGATGGCGCATTGACAGAGAGAAGACTCCTCTCTCACGGACATGTACACACTAAGAAATGGAGGGACTGGAATGGACCTAAAAGGGTACAATGGGTTTGTCGCCCCCACAGTACCCTAGAGAAGAACAAAGTTGTACCTCTCAACATAGGATCAATTATGTACCTTATCGTCTGTACCTATAATAGTACTTTACTGGACCTCAAGCGCCAAATATGTACCTTAATGTACAGGTACAAAAATGTACCCATATAAAAGGATAAATGTTGTACCTCAGCGGGTACAACTGGAGGGATCTGTTCCTTAGGCAAATACAAACCCTTAAATCCAATAAAATATTTATTTTTCAGAAAATAAATGTAATTACATTTCATTCACTTTAGTTTACATGTTAAAATACACAGTAACAAGTTTGGTACAAAATGTTGAACCAAAAAGTTCCAACTATAGAAACTGAACATAAAACAAAGATGTGTTACAGATTGGATTTTTTTAAACAGTCATTTATACAGAACATCTCAATCCAACATATAACTTGTCATCAATAGTGTATGCATCAAGCGACGTATGGTCCTTTTCATCTCCAGGTTTAATCAAAATCCACTCATTGTCTACTTTGACACGATATGCGTGGACATGCTGGTCAAAGGACAATGGATACAACATTTTACTGCAAAGAAGCCACTCGGTATCAATATTAAGTATGTATTTGATTTGTCCGAACACTGGAATTTCTTCCTCGTGTACAAGATCTAGAGTCAACACATCTCTAACAGCATATTTTATATTGTCTACTATCACTTCAGATACACGCTGAAACACTTTCCCTTCCATATTGCTGAAGTTGCAGCTTTGTTTTAATGTAGATTGAAGACAAATGGGAAGTGACAAAATGGGTGTACTGATGCTTCTTCCGGGCACCTTTTCAAAGTCTCCCAAGATATTACAAGGTGAAAAATCAAAACACTGTTTCAGCTGGTGACGAGTGCTCAATGTCATAGTTATGTTTCTGAAATTTCTACAGTTACTCGTCAGACTCTTAAAATACTGGTGTTTCCCTTCGAAACGCATACACCAAAGAGAACGGAGAGGACCATACATTAATAGAAGTCTTGGATAATGTGAAAGGAAATGACATTTAGGTGTCAATACAGCTCCAAAAACTTCTTTCATCTCAGAAAGGAATGTGTGTATTAGCATTTTTAGAAAGGCCATTTCATCTTTCCTCACTTTATCTGCTAAAACAATGTCTGCAATATCTCTGCACAAAAGGAACACATGCCAGTATCTGCTACCAGGAGGAATACGGTGTCCCATTATAAAAGGCAGCAATTACCGGAAGAGACACCATTTCTGGGCTGCCGTACCTACGATCCCCTTTTTTTTGATAACCTGTTCTGAAAGCATTATAGGTTTATTGGCCTTGTCATTCTGTCCGAAGCAGAATCTATGAAGTTCTTCATTTAGCTCAGTTATGCTTATATGCTTTTGTTTACATGCTTCCACAATGACATGTTTCATGGTCAGTGGTAAAACACCCTCCAAAAGATCATGCATTATGTCTGGGGGCAGAGACTTTGTCACATCAAAATAATCAAGTGCATCAAATGGGCTTCTGTACTGTACTCCATACAATGCAGCATTTACAACATTTTGCTCGACATACTTTGCTCTTGAAACTTGTCATTAATTTCTGAATGGGTTGCCATATAACGACAAATTCGACCAGAGTGAAAACACATGCGAAACCCACCAATCATGTGAGCTGACAGATTATCCCCTGAAAAAGTTGCTAAAGCAGCATAAACTTTACTCTCTCTTCCACATGCTTTTATAATCACGCCTTGTGTTGAAAGCAGTTTTAAGTCATCGATCATTGGTTTTAATATGACCTCCATACCAAACTGTTTCATGTGAGAGTAGCGAACTAGCATAGCCAAATGAATATGCTTAAGCTGAGATCGGTACTTCCCACTCAGATTCCCAACAGTGTAGTAAAACGCACACAACTTATATTTGGTTCTCTTTGACCCTAAAGGGTTAACAATTTCAAATTCATCTTCATATAAATGAATCCTTAAAGCATTTGGGTGCTCTTTGAAAAAAACATGTTCCTTAAAATATAGAGCATCACGATAGTCTGTCAGTGTGGTTTCATCTTTGACTTCATCCATTTCAGATAATATTTGATCCCAGACATCTTCATGGGAACAGTACTTCTGTAAAACTTTAGATATTGGAACATAAGAATAGGTCCCTATAGTGTTTCCACTGGAGTCTTTCAATGCAAAGTGTGCAGGTGCCGTATAGTCCATCTTGGTTTTGCAGTGCTCTTTAATCATGTAAGGAGACCTAACTGCCTCACAAGCTTTAACAAAGAAATCAGGTGAATTTAAAACTTGCTGAAGCTCAGGGCACTTTGAAATAGCAAACCCGCTTTTTTCAAGATGATAAGAAATAAAGGCATCATAGTTTTCTTTAAAAAAACAAAGGAGAAATTGGACATCATCAGTAATTTCTTGTTGAACTGACAAATTTAAAAGATTCTTCTCTCTGCATTTAAGAACAAATTTAAACAGATTATCTCCAAATTGGTCCATTAATTTATCTAAATTTGGCTCAACAGTTTGAGGATCAGATGCACATAGAGGAATCTCTGCATTTTGTGAGCTTTGTTGCTCTATGCAGGCCTCCTCACTGGGACCCTCTGTGTCAGGAGACCGAACGACAATACTTCTATGCCTCCTATACACATGCCTTCTAAAAGAATGAAACTGGGAAAAACTTGACTGACATTCACTTATACCACATGTGATGCTAAAACCTGGTTCATGGGCATGAACAAGCCCAACATGGTGAATAAACTTAACAAGAGTAAACGTTCTTCGCATGCATTTAGGGCACTGGTATAATGGAGGCATCTATCAAAATTGGTTAATTATTCTGAGCACAGTTATTGGCAGAGTCTTGTCTCCCTCTTCCACAATGCTGACAATGCGCCGCTGAAGAAAGCTCAAAGTGTTTTTCAGGTGAGGTGGGTATGCAATGTTGAACACGAAGTACATACTGTAGGCCGTTATGAAAGCTTCATCAAAAGTTGTGCACTGGCACACATCCACGCCATCCACTTTCACCAAACTGGGCCCAGCACTGGTCATCGCCACTTTCCAGTCATTCTCCATCAGTTGAATCGTTGGATACGGGGTGGAAACATCCGTCTGTAAATAAAAATGGTACAGCGTTTTACAATAAATTACAAAATGTGTCACATTTTAGACAAGAGAGATTCATAGTTAATGGGAATAAGAATTCTAGTCTTGTAAAGTAAATAAAATTAAATGTTAATGTCAATTGCAGTAACTCATGGTCAGTGCAGTGCTACACAGAAAAAGTGGGAAAGAAGTGATGCAATTAGCTTGGAGCTAAGTGCGCTCCAGCTTCTCATGGCTCCAAGTTATGCTTTATTGTAACCGTAGTGAAATGTGTCCTCTACATTTAACCCACGCACTGTAGGGAAATTCAGATACCTACCGCTCCCAAAGTGATGTAATGTTCAATCTTTTCTCTGAAGATTGAAGGCAACAGAATGAGTCCAGCCCTCAAGTCGATTCCTTAAATGGGGGTGGAATTTTTTTTATTAAATTGTAACAAAAGCAGATCAAATTTTATGTCTACTACCAGAATGACTTGACTACCTGGTAGGTCTTCAACCAGGGCATCATGTCTGACATCAGTGTACTGTTTTGCCACTGTTGACTTCCCCTGGGCCAGCTTAAGTATGTTTGGCAAAACACCGACAAAGCCTTCTCTGAAGCGGTCACAGAATGCCACGACTGTCGGGTGAATTCTGTCAACCTCATCTATACACTGTGGAACATAACACATAAATGAAGAGTCATATTATTGCCCCAATAATTTCTATGCTGCATTGTTTGATAAGAAAGTAAAAAAACACATGGTAATTTGACTCCTGGACGCCTCCCTGGTGAGGTGTTCCGGGCACGTCCCACTGGAGTCTCTCAGCTGGAGGGACTGCGTCTCTCAGCTTGTGCGCCTCTCAGCTTGTGGGACTGCGTCTCTCAGCTTGTGGGACTGCGTCTCTCAGCTTGTGGGACTGCGTCTCTCAGCTTGTGGGACTGCGTCTCTCAGCTTGTGGGACTGCGTCTCTCAGCTTGTGGGACTGCGTCTCTCAGCTTGTGGGACTGCGTCTCTCAGCTTGTGGGACTGAGTCTCTCAGCTTGTGGGACTGAGTCTCTCAGCTTGTGGGACTGCGTCTCTCAGCTTGTGGGACTGCGTCTCTCAGCTTGTGGGACTGCGTCTCTCAGCTTGTGGGACTGCGTCTCTCAGCTTGTGGGACTGCGTCTCTCAGCTTGTGGGACTGCGTCTCTCAGCTTGTGGGACTGCGTCTCTCAGCTTGTGGGACTGCGTCTCTCAGCTTGTGGGACTGAGTCTCTCAGCTTGTGGGACTGCGTCTCTCAGCTTGTGGGACTGCGTCTCTCAGCTTGTGGGACTGCGTCTCTCAGCTTGTGGGACTGCGTCTCTCAGCTTGTGGGACTGCGTCTCTCAGCTTGTGGGACTGCGTCTCTCAGCTTGTGACAGCTTGTGGGACTGCGTCTCTCAGCTTGTGGGACTGCGTCTCTCAGCTTGTGGGACTGCGTCTCTCAGCTTGTGGGACTGCGTCTCTCAGCTGTTGTCCTTTGGGACTGCGTCTCTCAGCTTGTGGACTGCGTCTCTCAGCTTGTGGGACTGCGTCTCTCAGCTTGTGGGACTGCGTCTCTCAGCTGGAGGGACTGTGTCTGTGCTGGCCTGGGAACGCCTCGGGGTTCCCCCAGATGAGCTAGAGGCGGTGTGCTTGGAAAGGGAAGTCTGGACGTCTCTGCTTATACTGCTGCCCCCGTGACCCGGCAACGGATGAAGGGGAAGGAGATGGATGGATGGAACCCCCGCGATAATAGAGGGACCACTGTATTGGATTATGCCAAATAACATTCAACTGTTTTGTTGCACTTACTATAGCAGGCATCTTTAAGAAGGGATATTTGGAGAGCACTTCCTCTACTGGCATGCCTTCTATGATTTCACGTCGTCTCCAGGAGAATGTTCGTGTCATGCGGTCTTTGACAGCGGCCATATCAGGTTGCATCTTCCGATACTCACTTTGTAGCACATTAACATGGGCTTCAACAGATGTACAATCCTCACCAACACCAAGCTCCTATGGCATAAACATAACGTTATGATAATGACTGATAATTGCCATTGAAACTTTTACAAAAAGTAAGTAAATGTTATGTACTTACAATTAATTGTCTTGACGGGCGAGACACATTTGAAGATCTAATGCTTTTGGACTGCTTTGTATGGCCAAACTTCTCCTTCAGCTTTCTGACCTCGGTGTCATTGACAAGTGGTGCACGTTCTGCTTTAAATTTTCGTTTCAAAGACATGTGCCAGGTATGCTAGGAAAAAATATTTTTGTTATATATATTAGTTTTAAAAACATTTCATTGTTAAACTATACAATACAATCACATAGAATAAACTTGTTAGTGTCATTGACTCGGCATCATGCGTCTATACCCAATAGCTGCATGGTTCATTGTCGTTTAATCCTTAAGTAACCTAATGTGTATGCTTAAATTACTTGGACTTTTCTGTTGATGAATCAACAATCTCTCTTACAATCTCTGAGACGACTGCTATTGTGATTTTGGGCATTAGAAAATATATTTAATTGAAATGAATTATTAATGCTTACATAGCCATTTCCCTCCAAGTCTCTCAGGAAAGGATATTTTACAACCAAAGCCTTGGCTACTTGTGTGTATTCCACATTGGTTGGATACCTGTCTCCAAAAGATTGAGTAATTATAAAAATATATATAATAATAATAATTAAAATGATGTGTACTAGTGCAAAATGCTTACTTACAGAGTGTATTCTGCCATCATTTCATATAGAATTCTGACAATTTTGATGCGGATTTTGGAGACTTGGTGGCATGGTTCCCCGGCATCCAGTTTAATCTGGACATCTTTGGGGAATGTTGGTATGACGGTCACAAGAGGAAGTCTCCTATTGTGAGCCAATTCTCTGCTGGAAAGCATTTACAAAAGTAATTTATACAAAAATACATCTTATCCCTTACAGCCAGCTTGGTCAGTGTATTTTTCGTCCAGTGGTTCTTTCAAATTATAATCAAAATTTGATGCAGAAATTGAAAAAAAAAAACTAAATATTGAATGATTAAAACAAAAACATCAAATCTCAAACCAATTTTTTGTCTTCCCGTTTCTTTATCAACTGAACGAAAAATACACTGACCCAGCTTTTAGTGATTCACTTGCCTTGTGTCAGGAGACGGTGGACATGGGAGTGTTGTGGGGGCAGGCACTGGTTCTAATGTAATCCAGGTCTCAGCTTCTTTGTATTGGCGCACAAACTGATGAAACTTAACTTGTTTTTTAAAGGAACCGTGAAAGAGGGAGGCAACCATGGCCTCCGTTAGTCCACAATCTATGGTTTCTCCATCAACATCATTCTCTAAAAATAAATGAATCACACACATACATGCCACACAGACAGACAGGCAGACAAATATGCAGATTAAGTACACAATTATTAATTACGATTACGTGCACAGTGGCGTGCAAGATTATCGCAGCTCGGTTCGAGGGTCAGAAACCATTGACACTGCAGATGAGCCAAAGAGCTAGCGTTAGCTCACATGTAGTGAAAATCCTAATTTGGTTGGAATGTTCCGCGTTACGTTGGTTGTCTGTAAATATCATCAATTGTGATCTCAAAGCGTGGCGCCATAACTACGAACCGAGCCACATTAGCGCATCTGGCATTAGCCTCCTCCCGTTCACTGAGCAGGGGAAAGTCGGGGTTAGCTTAGGCCTATGAAGCGGGTCGCATTGACACTGCGGATCAATGCACCCCGTTCCAAAGGCCTCCGCATCCCGAAGTATGAAAGACCCACCTTGTTATGCCACCAGCATTCGGACCGCTCCTCTCCGTACCGTAAATCCAACCGCGGCTTTTCTTACTCTGCTCAGTGAGCACCATAGACTGTTTGCGAGCACACGAAGCTAATGCTAGAAGCGCTCGTGTATGGTCAAGCATTGTGTTACCGTGAAAAGGGCTCGGTCTGCGGTTATAGTGCCACGCAGTTAGAGAGCATGATTGATGTCAAAAAGTCACAATTATACATTTGCTCAATATATGAAGACCACCAATGTAACGCGGAACATGTTTGTTAAATCAAATTAAATCATACGTTAGATATTTGAACCTGACTTATCACATTAGTTGCTGTATTATATGTTAGTAATTCCATATAAATGTAAATTACAAACTACATAAAAAATAGCTGATTTTTGTACTAGTTAATAGTCTAGTTGCTAGCTAGCTAAATACTGAAAAAGTAGCTGGAGGCCATTACATAGTTAGCAAATATTTACTTTAACGTAGAATGAGTTAATTCATAAAGAGAAAAATAACACATAACTTACCCCTGAACTTCCTTGCTTCCTCCTCAGAAATATCGATCCCCGCCTCAGATAGTTTTTGAAGTAAGTCTGTGGTAGAAAGGCAGCGTAGACCTGCACAATCCGCCATTTCGATGTTTTGCCGCCTTTTGCTGTTGCCAGGGAGGAAATCTCCCCTGACACTTGACTCCTACAGGTACAGTTTTGTACCCTTTGCTCTGACCAGTAAGACTGTACCTCTCAAATTAAATAAAGGTGATCCACAGTCATTCCCCTTAAGGACCATATCTGTACTTCCAAGGAACATTCCTAAAAAATGTACCTTTTGGGGACAAAAATGGACCAAAATTTACATGCTTCCACTTCCCCAAGATGTGTCCTGCCTCGCATCCAGTGGGTTTCCGGGATCCTGAAGGAAACGTCTTGCATTTGCTCTGACAGCATTTGAGGACCAGCCAGAGCTTGGAAACTGATCCATTTGGATGTGGGTTATTTGGAATGTATACACAACATTCTGCTACCAAATAGACTGCTGACCCCACATTTCTATGCAAAGAGCAATGTCTAGAGCCCACTCTGTTTTGAAATGCTACCAGAGAGTAGAGGTGGCCCCAGCTGCCTCGCATTCCCTCTATTGACGTACCTGGTGTGATTGGCAAGGCCTAAGATAGTATACAAATGAACGTATTATTCTACAATTTTTGTTTGGCGTGATTGGGAAATTAGCGGGAAATTTGGGAATATTTTCGAAACTGTTGCAATTTGATCTACCAGTTAGAATTCCTGAGGGATCCACGATGGAACACCTATAGTGTCCATGTAAGTTGGATTTCTTTTACCGAGTATCTAGGAATGTATTGTCTTTTAAATCTATTCAGTGGGTGGGGACTGTCTAGGATGGTTTTGGCCAATTAAGGAAATGGGCTTCATTATCGCACCATTGCACACTGCTGTAAAATTTTTATTAGTCTATGTTAAGTTTTAAATCTTCACAACAATACAAATCACCCTTGGTGGGCATGGGGGACGGATGGGCAAGGTCAGTTGTTGACACACCAGTCTGCTGGAAGGAACCCCACTGGAGACGCGAGGGCGCGGCCTCGTACCTCCATTGAGTGAGTGGAAAACAGGTGTAATTGCCTTTTCTGTGGGAAAACATAGGGGGCGGAATTTCTGAATCCAATTTGGAACAATACATCTTCTGGGAAAAGTGGAGCCGGGGCTATCATACAATTATAACCATATACAAAGTGGGGACGTGCAGTGGAGCACACAACACAATCGTCAAAGCCAGCAGCCGCTGACATGTGTTCCACTGTCCACAACCAAGCGTTTCTATCCCCATATCCAGTTGCTTGTTTTAACAATTCAGAAACAGTCCAGTCAGCAGTCACCTGTACGTTCTGTTTGTCTTGCCATACTTCACTATCTATGGCCTCCTTGTCTAGCTCCTTGTCCTCGGGTAGGGCAATTGAAATCCATTGTCTAATGTCTCCTGGATAATGTCCAATAACGTAAGTCCCATTCACATCAATCCCACAATTTTTCACAGTGACTAGCACCGTTGTTTGTGAGTGGTCTGTAGTCAGAATCACTCGTCCCTTCAATCTGTGTTCATTATTATAACCCCAATCAGGACCTGTATTGGATATAACATACTCCCAAGCATCACAGGTGCAGTCCACCGATGCTCTAAAGCTTTTTCCATGTCTCTCATATTTACATGTTGACGGTGTGTAACACAGGTAGAGTGTGAAGTCAGGTCGAAAGGATAAGGGAAAGATTGTTGCCATTGGTATGTGGGCTGTAATTGTCGCACCCACCGGGCATTTTACTGTCACAATCGTAGGTAGAGAGTCTCTAACGCTGCCGTCTCCTATGGATCTTTTATTTCTGTCAGTCTTATTGGACCAAAGACTGGATTGTGTTACAAGTCTGGCCCTGTCTCTTAGCTGTGTGTTTTCTAACACTTCCCATGTTAAAATTCCCAGGACCACGACCAAACCAACTGCAGCGATAGCCCATAGGATGGCTCTCCCTCTTTTGGTCGTGGGCCAGGGCTCCCTGTCCCAAGGCAACATATTAAGAGCGAGTGTAAGCGTGTGTGAGTCACTGTCCAACCCGTGAGCGTGGTTACGAGGGTGGGTCAGATGGTCTCGTATGAGAGAGATGAAACCACTTGTTCCCGTGTCCCTTCAGTTGAACAGCTTTGCGAGTGCGGGCCACCACTTCAAAGGGTCCGGTCCAGCGGGGCTCGTTCCACTCCTTTTGAACACCTTCACACGGACCCAGGCAGGTGGATCCTCCGAGGCCTCCTTCTCGCAGAGGTCGAGACTTCCTTCAACCTGTTGGGAAAAACTAGACAACATTTCTCTCAATTGTTCCCAGTACACCCGCACTGGGGGTGTTGGGGAGTCGTCTTTTGTGAAAGGCACCACCCTGTTCCCTGGTCCTGGCATAGGCCTCCCTGTTAACAGCTCGTATGGGGAGAAATGGTGAATGCGGTTAACAGAGTGCCTTGCTGACAACAGGGCAATAGGCAATGCCTGTAGCCAATTCAATTTACTCGTTGCCAGGATTTTAGAGAGTTTACTTTTCAAGGTCTGATTCATCCTTTTCAACTCGGCCCTGGGATTGAGGATGGTAGACCGTTCCAAATTTATGTTTTAGCCCAGATGTTTTTCTACCAATTGCAAGTGTTTGTTCCTGAAATGCGTCCCATTGTCAGACCTTATTAACTGGGGAAAGCCATGCGTTGGGATGTAATGTTGAATTAAGGCTTTGATTACAGAGGCAGCATCCTCCTTTGCAGCAGGATATGCCTCAGGCCATCCCGTAAAGGTGTCAGTGATGACCAACAGGTACCGCTTTCCTGCGCACCTGTTAATCATATCTGTGAAGTCCATCACAACATGTGCTCCAGGCCAAGCAGCAGGTGTGAATTTTCCTGGGGAAACAGCTGAGCAGGGCGATGGGTTATAATTTTGACATATTTGACAGGACCTAGTATAATCTTGGATCATGTTTGTCTTAAAGGGATGCCACCATTGTGACATATTCCTGAGCATCTGTACCTGACCCACATGGGCTAGCCCATGTGCCTCAGATAAAGCCGCTCGTGAGAGGTCCCCCATGGGCAGGGCGGGGCGGCCATCAGGGCCGTACCAGATGCCAGTATCTGGATCCTTCTTTGCCCGTTTTTGAACCCACATGGATATTTCTTCAGGAGCTGCTTTTGTTTGGGCCTCAGCTAAAACCTGAAGGGACAGATCGGGCAGGCAGTCTGCCAGGTCTGGCCCCTCGTCCCGAACCACAAACACTCCTGGAGTACTGACCTTGTAGTTGGCAGCTTTCTTTGCGGCCTCATCCGCAGCCTCGTTTCCCCTGGCCTCAAAGTTGTCTGACTTGGAGTGCCCTTGGCACTTGATGACGCTCACCTGTTTTGGAAGCTGGAGAGCGCTGTCCAGCCTCTCCACCAGGGCTCTATGTGTGATGGGTCGGCCTTTAGCAGTCAAGAAGCCGTTTCTTTTCCACTCGGAGAGGTTGAAATGGACAGCCTGAATAGCATACGCAGAGTCGGAGTAAATATTTACAGATTTACCTTTAGCAAACTCCAAGGCGGCGCAGAGAGCCTCTAGTTCTGCCGCCTGCGCTGATGGTTTGTCAGTTAAAACACCGCTGTTTACTGTAACAAAATTTTCACCGTTAACACTGACAACTGCATACGCCGCTCTCAGGCTGCCATTCCTCTCTCTCCAGCAACACCCATCTGTGAAAAGCTGTAAGTCGGGGTCCTGAAGTGGGTCAGTCTGGAGGTCAGGTCGCACTTTCAGACTGTCTATTACTCTTACACTGCAGTCATGAGGCTCACCCTGTCTTGGCATGTGGTCAGCCATGTTAATGCCAAGAGGTGTAAAAGTTATGTGGGGCTGAGTGAGCACCTGTAAGAGCCGTGACTGTCTCAAAGGTGACATAGTGAAGGCAGCTGAGGACACATATGCACAAACGCCATGATCAGTCAATATTTCTAAAGCATGCCCCATGACTAAATGTGCTGTTTTCTTAATCAAATGTCCCACTCCTGCAGCATACCTAGAACAGTCAACCTGTCTAGCCTCGATTGAATCCAATGGAACGCTAATATACTGTAAGATTTTTCTCTGGCCTCTGCACTTTTGATATAACACCCCGTTAGCTACCTGAGACTGCACTGTGGCATCTAAATAGAACTGGTGCGAATAATCTGGTGACGCCAAATGAGCCGCAGAGGATAGGTCCTGTTTGAGTGAGATAAACTGTGCCTCACTATCTCTGTCCCAATTCAGTTTAGCCCTTGTGTTTCTCATGCCATGTTCATTAACTAAAGCTCTTAAAGGTTTAGTTTTGTCTGCAAAATCTGCCACATAGTGTCTGCTATAGCCTATCAGACCCAGGAAGGACAACATGTCCCCCACCATGGTGGGTCTGGGATATGACAAAATAGCATCTCTGTGCTCTGGAGACATATTTGTGGATCCTCCAGACACACTACGTCCCAGGAAGGTCACCGCAGGCCTGCAACATTGTAGCTTTTCCTTA